TATTCTATTCTATTCTATTCTATTCTATTCTATTCTATTCTATTCTATTCCATTCCATTCCATTCCATTCCATTCCACCAGAGGCTTTTTTAGGTCAAACTAGAATCTCCTTAAAAAATAACAAATATTTTAGAAGTCATGACTGCATCGTAAACTAAGCGAGCCCCTTCTAGATCAATTTTTTATCTCGAAGACTTAAATCAAACTTGATCCCATTTATAAACGACGTGTTTTATCCATTTTTGCACGTCATTCGTCAGATTGACTCTTGTTTACGCCTTACACACTATCAGCTCTGATAAGAATATTCTCGTCCCTTGTACTTTCAATAGCTTAACGACGTAATAAGAGACGATACCAGCAATGCAAAGTTGCTTGAATTGTATTACGCAATTCCTGTTCCCTGTTCCCTGTTCCCTGTGCACTGTTCTATATTAACAATGAGCTTAATTGGTACTTTCCCGGATGAATGTTAAGCAGACCATACGCGTTTGGAGGCCGGACGCCTCGTCGTAGAAACGCGTTTCCCTCTTCGCAACTTTTCCTGTCCTCCGGAATAAACCTACGGCATTCTGTAAGGCCCTATCAAGCCGGCAAGATTGTCACTATTCCACCCATTCCAGCCACGCCTACGTCACTTTGAGGAGGAGGAAAGGGCATTTATGCCCGCCTGAATAAGTACGATCTGCCATCGTCCGTTCTGTGTGTGTGTGTGTGTGTGTGTGCGGTGGCGAATGAACGTGAACGGGCGAATGCGCCAACGATGGCGCGCACGAGCATGGCCGAGCGTCAGTGTGCAACTCGATTGCGGACCTGTCTCCGGCCGATTCGGCGACAGCGGGGCCCCGGAAAGCGGCACGCCTCACGTCAAGTCGGTTGAGGAGAGCGGAATGCCGCAGGCGGAGGGCAAATGTTGCATGAAGAATGACCATGACGAAGGCGTTGTGTGTGTGTGTGTGTGCGCGCGCGCGCGCGCGCACGCTGTGCCGAGCTGAACCGGCGGCCGCGGCTCCAGGTCGTCATTGCCGCGGCACGGAACGCCGCGCCGGGCTGACCTTTCGCTCGGCTCACGTGCCCGTCGGGCATGAGGACAGGCGGACAGGCAGACAGGCGGACATGCGGACAAACGGACAGGCGAGGCTGCAAACAATAACTCGGCCGACCCCGTCGAGTGGGAGGCGATCAAGCCGGCCGGCATCTTGACCATGCTCCTGTTAACAAATTGATACGCTTCATGTGTGTGTGTGTGCCCACAGCGCGTGCCGGCACGCCTCTCTGCCTCTCTGCCTTTCTGCCTCTCTGCCTCTCCCTCTCTCAGGCCCGCGCGCCGGCAAGGCGTCTGTGCACTTGTCCGCCCCTGGTTCGCCCACACGCTTGTCCCAATGCCTGTGTCAGTGAGCACCTTGATCCGCACGCTCGTATCATCCTGTGCGGGTATACATACATTCATACACACATACATACATACACGCACACAACATGTATAACATGTGTATGTTTGTGAGAGAGATTGCGCTGTGGTAGTTCGCGTGGACGCTCGTGCAGGTTTGTGCGTATGTTTGTGAGTATCTGAGAGTGGAGAATCGTTCATCTAATAGCCTTGGCGAGTAGAAGTATTGATCGGTCGGTCAATTAGTCAATCGAATAAACGGATCGATGTGCAACTTGGTCAGACACCCTGTTGTATGAAGAGGCCACCCAGGAAGGCGAACCAAAGCCTGGGCGTGTGGCTCTGACGCAATGAAGGTGGAAGCGTGTGCGCTTGTGGCCGGGCGACAAGGGTCCCGACGGTGACGCAGGTGCCGCGGTGGCCAAGTCCGCGTCTCGGCCGCCGAGGCCGGCCGGCCCTGACGGGTTGGTGGCGAGGTGACCGGTCATCGCGACGTGAAGCGCCTGTTCGCGAGGCGCCGAGTCGGTCGGTGCCCGTGACGGAGAGGAGGCGTCTCCGCAGGACGGCGAGGCGAGGCGATGCGAGACGACAGTGACCGGCGCGGCCAATCGACCAAGCGCTGGTAGCAGCCTTTGGGACTCGTTCAAAAAGGCGCCGATCGATGCGCTTCTCGCAATCAACTCACCAGGCCTCAAGTGGCGCCCAGCCTCGCCTCGCAAAATGGCTGCACATTCTGGCCGAGCCGGTTGACGAGACGAGCG